TTACCTTCTGGGATACCGATTATCTGGATGTTTGGGCACTTAATGCTGTCTAGTATTTCTCGTATAGTATTCTTATTATTTTGGGTTATTTTCCCAGTTTCTTTTGGTTGTTTTTTCTAGATCAGAGGTTTTTGCCTTCCACATCTGAAATTCAATTTTCTGCTTTTAGTATGTTCGAGGGAGGTTTTGATTTCCTGAATGACAGCCTTCATCTCTAGTAGCTCTATTTGATTCTTTTTTATGGTGTGTATTTCCTCTTTCAGATCATGGAAGAACTTCAACACCTCCTGAAACTCATTGTCTCTTTCTCCTGCATCTTCTGGAATTCACTATCTCTCAGCTCTTGCATCTCGTTTAGTTTTGTCACTACAAATATTCTGAATTCTCTATCAGACATTTCCATGAGTTCTTCCGTACTGTCTGTGGATGACGAGGGATTGTTTTTTTCCCTTAGGGGAGAGATATTTTCCTGATTTCTCATATTTCTTGTGCCTCTGCAGTGGTTCCTGGTCATTCTGTGACAAAATCTCTCTTCCACTTGTCTGAGTATTTTGGGAGTCTAGAAGATGAAGTTTAGCACATAGCTTCCTTGAACAGGCCAGGACACACCTCAGCTTTAAGATGGCTTCTTGTCTGAATATTTCAGGAGTCTAGAAGATGGAGTTTAGTGCATAGCTCTCCTGAACCTAAAAGCAGATTTTATAAGATTTTTATTAAAATACCTGGGCTACACTAATCAAGATTGAAGACCAAACTTTTCTGAGGTCCATAAATTTATTTTTTCTAATTTCTTAAAACAACGGCAGCCGTCTTGGACAACTGGGGAGGCACTATGCATGGTGAACCTGGAGCCTCCCATAGTGCGGGGAAATAAGGAAGCGTTCAAAAACAGCAGCCACAGAACACTGACGAGTTATGTCAAAGGGGCACGAGAGCCAGCTGAAAGAGTGCCAGTGGCGAACGCTTGAACAATCTGAGTGACAAAATATACACTGTTGAATTATAACCCAGAGCATAACACAAATATCCACGAGGCTGTACTGACAGAAATATTGAGTCATCGGTGAAAAAGTCATGACGCATTTTTGCATAGGAAAACAGAAAAATAGAGCATGACTTTTCCAACGACCCAGTAAATGACAAAATACATTATCAAATGGAGAGAAGAAACAGATGTACCATACGGAAGGATTCCGAATCATTTCAATAGGTCACTGACCCTCAAGGACTCCCTTGCAGAAAATAGCGTGGAAAGGAGGGAAGGAGGGGACAGCAGTGTGAGTGGAGAAATCTAACACTACCTCGGCCAGGTGACCAAGGCCGACATGTTGATGACGTGTAGACTCGACGCGATGTGATTAAAATAGCATTGCACCTGTTTGGTCCTCCTCCAGATAACCCATCACCCCCGTCTTACCATGAGAGAAACATCAGACAAATCCCATCTGGGGCCCATTCTGCAAATACCTGCCTCGTTGCTCAAACAACTGTCATGGTCATCAAAAGCAAGGGAAGTCTGGGAACCTATCACGGCTGACGTCCTGGATGGGTTCCTGGAATGGCCGATCTACATTAGGTAAAAACTGAGGAAATCCGAATGAAGCATGAACTTCAGTTAGTAATACTGTGTTGATGCTGGTTTGCCATATGCTGCACGTGCTCTTGCACAAGATCCCGAGGAGCCGGGGGCTGGGAGAAAGCGGTCTCAGGGCATGAGACCCTCCCAAGGATGGTCCTCCCTCCCTCTCTCTTTCTCTTTTGCACAAGTGCACTTTATAAAAATTTTAAAAATTGGAGAAGGATGGAGCTGAAAAAAGAAAACTGAAAAATATTGGTTTGGGGCCAGGAAGTGGTGTTGAGGTTAAAGCAGATGTATCTCACATGACCGACTGCTCAGTTTGAGTCCTGGGCCTGATGGCTTAAAAATCATGTCAGGCACATGTGCATGCATGCCCAAAATTCCTCAAGGAGAATGTAGGAGAAGGGATTTCAGTGTGGCCATCCCTTCTGTGTGGCGATTACTTACTTTTTCTTTCTCTCTCTGGCATGCACATGCCCCCTGTAGCAATCTCTATCTATGTTGGTTTGGGACTGGCCCATGGCCTGGTGGTTATGGAAGCTGGATCTCACATGTCTGACCACATAGTTCAAGTCCTAGACCCCATGCCTTGAAAGGAGAAATGGAGGAGAAAGGATTGAGATGTGACCATTTCCTCTCCCTCTCTCTCTGGCAAGTACACATGCTCCTTGGCAAAAAAAAAAAAAAAAGATTTGTTAATTGTTAATGTGTGCATCATACTAAATAAGATGTTACATAAAGAGGAGACTGTGTGTAGGACACATGGGAACTCTGTACTGCAATCTTCTCAATTTCTGTATAAATCTACAACTGTTCTGAAAAATAAAGTTTGTTATTATTATTATTGTTTGAGAAAGATTTATGCTATAGTATGCGTGTGCAGAGAGAGAGAGATACGGAAAGCAAAGAATCACCCTCCAGGGGAATGGCCACACCACAATCCTTTTCCTCCATTCTTCTCTCGGGATCTTGGGCATGCACATACATGCACCCAGCATGAGTTTTAAGTGGCCAGATCCAGGACTCAAATCACGGTGGACTATGTGGGAGTCCAGTGATGTAACCTTTACGCCATCTGCGGGTCCCAAGTGCGTTAAAATTTTAAAGTGTTTAAATGGGGGGGTGGGGATGGGAGGGGAGTGTACAGAAAGTCAGTTTAGGGGTATATATATATATATATAGAGAGAGAGAGAGAGTGTGTTTAGGGATTTTTTTTTTTTGGTGAGGTTTTTTTGTTTTTTGTTTTTGTTTTGCTATAGGGCGCGTGTGCTTGCCAGACAGACAGAGAGAGACAGAGAGACAGAAAGCGAGAAATCACCCCCTGGGGGGATGGACACCACGCAATCCCTTCTCTGTTCTCCTCTCGGGATCTTGGGCACACACACACATGCGCCCGGCATGAGTTTTAAGCCACCAGGTCTGGGACACAAACCGCGGTTGACTACATGGGAGTCCAGCGACATAGCCATTACGTTAACTGCTGGTCCCAGTGTTTAGGGATTTTTAAGGGAAAATTATGAAGCATTTTTTTTGAGATCTTTAAAAATTCCACACAGAACACAGCTTAAGCAGACTGTATGTAACTGCTTAGTTGAAAAATGCAACTGGCAGCTTACTTCAGAAAGTAACACTTCTAAATACATTGAAATTGAGTCATTATTATTTCTCATCTATGTAGTATTTTGTTTTTCCAAAGTTCTTTGCAGTTTCTGACTCTAAGATAGCCGTGTTACCATCATCCCCTCTTTAAAGCTCAGGCAGTGTCTAGATGCTTGAGTAGCCATCCTGACAGCTGGCTAATCTAAATGTGCAGTTCATTCAGAAAGCCAGCCATCAATGTCAAAATGGTACAACAGTTATATGTTTTCAAAGCCAGAATGCAATCCTGTGGTAAGACCTCAGTTTTACGGTCATCCACAAGTTTTCTCAGAACTCATTCCTTACTCAGTGTTTTCACATGGAAAACTTTTTTGGGGAGATCTTTTTAAGACTTGGAGCTTGCCTACAGTTACCTTATGAAAAAAACAAAAAAACAAAAACGACTTTTAGAAGCATTTTCTTAAGAAATAATTATGCCAGGGGAACCAGCAGTTAGCGTAATGGCTATGTCGCTGGACTCCCACATAGTCGACCGCGGTTCTCGTCCCAGACCCGGTGGCTTAAGACTCACGCCGGGCGTGTGTGTGTGCGTGCCCAAGATCCCGAGAGGAGAATGGGGGAGAAGGGATTGTGGTGTGACCATCCCCTCTGGGGGGTGATTTCTCGCTTTCTGTCTCTATGTCTCTGTCTGTCTGGTGAGCACACGCGCCCTATAGCGAAAACCTCTCAAAAAAAAAAAAAAAAAAGAAAGAAAGAATTATGCCAAGATAACCTAATAGCTACAACTTGGGGGTTTCTGCACTGAGTCAAATTGTACATATTGCAGGATATTCCTCTTGGCCCTGAACATTGTTTTAGTCTCATCCACCACTTTCCACATCCACAAATTCCCCAGTGTTCGGAACCTCCTAGGAGCCAGTGGAAATTGGAAAGAGCAGAGGAACAAGCTCCAGGAACAGGAATGCTGGAAGTGGCGGCCATGGCTTCTTTGGTCCCTGCCCCAGGTCTCTTCCAGCTCCTTCCTGTCCAGGGCAGTCAGGGCACTTCTGGGCAGTTTACCTGCTGCTCCTCCCAGCATCAGAGCGCTCCATGGCCAGGGCCCTCATGCTGCCAGGAACCCACCACCTTCCCACAGGAAGGCCATGACTGCCTTTCAGGGAAAACAGATTTTTTTTGGCATATTTTGGAGGCTGGTTGTGGGGGAACATCTGCCAGTTCTTTAGCCCTGGGAGGCTGGGAATGCAGTGACTGTTTCCTGAGTGGAGAATTAAGGCACATTGTTCGACAGCATGACTAAAGGGACTGCATGTGAACTTGAGACGTCCCAGGAAATTCAGGGTGAGTGTCTGTGGTGGCTGTAGGCTCGGAGACACGAGTGTGTGGCTTCGATGGTGGTGTTCTCTCGGGAAGAGCATGGGACATCCTGGGAGCAGGACTACCCAGGGCCCTTAGCAGTCCTGAGAACTGTCTTGATGGCAGGAGAGCACCCACGCCCCACCCTCCACTGTGAACCTCTGCACCTTCTCAGCTCATCCCCGGGTTGGGCTACACTAGCTCAGCCCTCTGCCTTTCCTTGAGGTTCTCTGCCTCCCAGGAGTCTAGACATTACAACCCACCCCACCTCACACTGGTTTATCTCCTCTCCACCTGTGCCCCAGGAACTCCCAGAGCAAGTTGGGGGACCACAAGCATTTTTGTAGACACAGGGTTAGCCTCATGTGAAGCAAACCACAAGCTGATCTTATCACATGCCTCTGACCGGTTGGAGAGGGAGTCGAAGGTGCAGTGAGGAAGTACAATGTCACATGCACCACTTACAGGAAACTGGCTAGAAGATAGCAGGGGAACTGGAGAGCTTGGTCGTGCTCCGCGGATTAGCACAACACAGGTTAGTGCTTTCTTTTCCTTCTGAAAAGGCTTCATAGCCTCTTTCAAATGCCTAACCCATTCTCTTTCCTTGAGCTGCCTTTGTTTCTCTACTGTGAAGAGCAGGCTCTGGCACCGACTGGACTGATCTACTGAGACTGACCGTAAGAGCGGTGCCTAGCTGCAAGCCGCACGCTGTTAGAGGAACAAACGTTGAGACATTATGGTGAAAATGCAGTTCTCAGAATCTCTTGCTTCCCTATTTAGGACTGCTTTGCCTTTAAAAAAACAAAACCTTCAGATGTTTATAACTTATTTCATGGAATTCAGCTAAGCCTCTTCTCCTTTTTACCTATTAGCATAAATCTGAAATGGGCAGATCAACTTGTGTTTGGAGACATAAGTGGGGCTTTGAAAGGACATTCAACAACACAGAAGCACTGTGGATACAGACATGCCACAAGGCTGTATGCAGTTGTTTTTTATGTCTTTTCTATTTCATAAAACTAATCTTTTGGCTTGTATTTCATGTTTAAATAATATTTCACAGCTTTATAAATACGTGTGTTTCCTTTCCTTTTTAATTTTTTCAGCTTTCTTTCTTTCCCCTCTCCCTCGTCCTTGTCTTACTAACATGAAAAGGGAGTAGAGAGGGAGAGGGCAGGTTGAAAATGAGATGAGGAAGTGAGTCCTTTGCCTGTTTAAGGAGAGTGTAAGAAGCACAGCCTGGAGTTACACACAAGCAGGTCCTGAGAGGCCATGAGGTCTGACTGTTACCAGAGCTTCGGGTCCTCAGTCTTGAAAGAAAGATTTGAAGAGTCTAAAGAACCTCAGAAAGATGGCTAATCAGTTAGAAAATAAGAGCCCTGGGCCAGCTGGTAGCATGAAGGTTAAGGTGGCTGGATCCCACATAGCCAACTCCGCTGTTTGAGTCTTGGACCCAGAGGCCTGAAAAACATGTGCATATGTGCCCCAAATCCCAGGAGGAGAATGGAGGAGAAGAAACTGGCATGGCCATTGCACCTCCACGAGAGTAGGGGTGATTTCTCACTTTCTTCTTTCTGTGTCTCTTTCTACAGACCACATGTGCCATGTGGAAAAAAAAAAGTTAATAAAGAAAAAGAAAAAATAGCCTAGAAACATCTAAATAAAGGGGCTAAGATTGTTCAGCCGATAGCTGATGAGGGACAGTTAGTAAAGAACGCCAAGTCAATACAAGGCCCTTACACAATGACCTGCTGCTTTCAGATCTATGTATGACAAAGGAAACTATCTCAAATATGAGTGAGGAGAAGGAAGTTAACTACATTCTTGAACTGTTGTGAAGCACTAGAACAGGTTAGCCAGAAAAGTCACCGAGCTTTTTCTGGATATTTTGGAAAACATACTAGATTGCTTCTTGATTTGGGGAGGCGAAGGGGAGGAGATCAGGATTAGGAGCTTCCTGTTCGATCTCTTTTTCCCAGCCATGGGTGTTCTCAAATATTTCTATACCGTAAAATAACAAGGGATGAAAGGTTTGTGGGCTCACGTGTTGTTTATATCCCAGTAATGCAAAATAACCAGAACAGTGATGAAAGAGAAAAATCATTGTTGATTATGTCCTTAGACTGCAACTTTTTATTTTTTACTATCCTGTTGTGCAAGAAAAGGAGAGGAAGCTGACAAAAGAATGGAAGATTCTCAGCTGGGGACCTCAGCCCTAGAGGTTTCAGAAACCCTGCACTAGCTCTTACAGGCAGCTGCGTGTTCATCATGCAGAGGAGGGGAGACTGGACTTTCTTGGTGGTTGGAGCCCTTTGCGTGAATGGCTGGAGGACACACAGACGGGATCTGTCGTAGGAAGGTCTCTTGTTCATGGCGCTTCCGTTCAGCACCAGGAAGAGGCATACAACTTAGCCGTGGCTGGGCACCCCTCAAAGGAGCTCTTCTTTCGGTTTTGTTTTGCTTTTGTAATAGCTCATAAAGCTTTGCTGTTCAGGGAGTTCTGTATTCTGTAAGTCTGTTGCTCATAGTAGAAAGGGACTTCTTATTTTGTTTAAATAATTTCCAGATGGACTTGATTTCTTTTTTTGCAAATGTGACTTTCCAAAGGCTGTTTCCTTCTTTTATTATTATTATTATTATTATTATTATTATTATTATTATTATTATTATTTTAAGGTTTTTGCTATAGGACACATGTGCTCACCAGATAGAGAAAGAGGAAACAGATAGAGGAAAAGTGAGAAATCATCCCTTGGGTGGATGTCCATGTCACAATCCCTTCTCCTCCATTTCTCCCCCTCCTGGGATTTTGGACAGTCACACACACATGCCCAGTGTGATTTTCAAGCCACTGGGTCCAGGGCTCAAACCATGGTTGGCCATGCGGGAGTCCAGTGCCTTAAGCACCATGCTACCTGGTGGCCTAGCTGGTTCCTTTTCTTCTAGGGGCATCTATTCTCTTCCTAACCATTTCTCAGCTTTCTCTGCAGCGTTTGCTGTTCTCCTTTGTATTTGAAAAGCAACAAAAGATTTATAAAGTTATGCAACAACTTTGATTCACAGACCTGGAATTGGTTCTGGAAAGAAAAAAAAAGGAAGGGAAGGAGGACGGGAAGAAGGAAGGGAGGGAGGGAGGGAGGGAGGAAGGAAGGAAGGAAGGAAGGAAGGGAGAGAGGGAAGGGCGGGAAGGAAAGGAGGATGTAGAAAGGCAGAAGGTTGGGTGGTGAAGGGCACCAAAGTATGGGTGGTCTTTGAACAACATGGGTTTGAATGAACAGGTCTACTTCTACAAAGAGTCTTTTCAATAAATGCTATAAATTAATCTGCTCTTCCTTTGGATTTTCATATAACATTTCCTTTTCCCCAGCTTACTTTACTGTAAGAATACAGTGTATAACACATAAACATAAAAATATGTACTGACTGTTCATATTACTAGCATAGCTTTTAGTCAAGAGTGGCTATTAGTAGTTAAGTTTTGGGGGAGTCAGAAGTTGTACATAGGAGCCAGTTGGCAGTGCAGTGGTAAAACACAGCACTTTGCAAGGCTGACCCACTTGGGAAGGTTCTGAGTCTATGTCAGAGACCTCACTGAGTATGCTGGGCATGTGTGTGTTTGGGAACGGCTGAAGCTGGGGTAGATCCTGGTGTCAGCATCTGTTGAAAGTGCTGTCTCTCCATCTCTCTCGCTCATAGAAGAACAAATTTTTTTGAAAGGTGATATGCAGATTTTTAACTGTGCTGGGATGGGTTGTCACCTCGAACTCCTTGTATTGTCCAAGAGCCAACTGTATCAATCTCATGGGTAACTTTTAGACAGGAATCACTGCCAAGGTGAACACTGAGTATAGTTTGAAGGCCAACAGTAGAAAGAAATGAATGGTCACCTTTAATCTGGACAGAAAATGGAGAATTTCATGAGGAGGGACAGTGTGGACACATCGCTAAATTCTCTAAAAAGAAGAGGGTGGGGTTGACCACAAGTCTTTCTTCCCCAGTCCTGGACATATAGGCTAGCCTCTTCTCTGCAGAATCCCAGGTAAGGCAAGAGTAGTACTGCGAGTCAGTGGGCACAGACGCTTGGGTGACCTGTGTTTCACAGGGATAAAAGGGTGATGTATGCGACCCATTCCTAAAATCCAGTGAGTGTAGTCTTTACAAGGGGTTCTCCTTGGTCATCATTTTGAGTTGGCTGAGTAAATCTGGAGAAAACGGTAGGGAAGACATCATGCACAGCCTGGCGTGGTGCCATGTGGCAATTCTGCTGGAGTGCTGTCTTAACTACAGTATCATGAGTACTTGTGTATACCCTGGGACATTCCCAGGGGAGGGATTGCCTGGTTTGACTTTTCACTCTGCCATTTCGTTTTTCTTCCATATCCTCATTTGTCAGAAAACCAGTGCAATTTTATTTTTAAAAAAGAGCCCATTTTTCTCCCCCTACCTTCCTCCCCACAAAACTTTAGGAAATGACAAGATCAGTTGCATTTGTTTTTTGTTTGTTTGCTTTTGTGAAACTGCTAAGAACAGTTGCATTCGTTTCTTCATTTATGGAAATGCCAAGAACAGTTGTATTTTTTGTGAAACTTCTAAGAACAGTTGCATTCATTTATGGAAATGCCAAGAACAGTTGTATTTGTTTATGAAAGGGGCATCGAAAGTTTTTCCTGGAAAAGGATAAACTGGAAAAAGGTGAATCCGTAATCCTTGTCATGGTGCGAAGGACAGAAGCTAAGCGGCACCTACCTATTCTAGCTTACGTGACTCCTACGCCAGACCCCCCAGGAAGTATTCACATAGCGCTGATCTTGTAGTGTCTCAAGGTTAACGAAGTTACTTCTTTGAGACTAACAAGTTAGAGATTTACCAGAATGTCTGTTTTTGATATTTTTCTGGTATGAATTAGGTTTCCTTTTGACTTGTGTTTGTGTCTAGATTTTAATTTGCAAAACTTTAATTTAACTAAGTGTATTGGTTTATAGTCCTAGTGTAGCTTTAAAATATTCTTTTCTTACAGTAGCACATGTGTTTGCATCCACATGCATCTACACATATACATGTATGTGTATGTATATATGAATGTATATGTGGGGGGTATGATTGTGTGTATATATATTTGTGTATGTGTGTGTATATATATATATATATTATAATAGGAGGAAACCTTTAGGGCAGTGACCTTCAACCTTTTCAATACCAGGGACTGGTTGTGTGACGAACCAGAGGCAGGGGGTGGTTTGGAGACTATTCAAGCACATTACATTTATTGTATGCTTTGTTGCTATTTTTATTACATTGTAACATATGATGAAATAATTCTGCAACCCACCATAGTGCAGTATTAGCAGCCTTTTGCCAGCACTAGCATCACCACCTCAGCTCCACCTCAGATCATCAAGTATTAGGTTCTGATAAGGCACACACACCCTAGATGGTTCACATGCACAGCTCACCATAGGGTTCAGACTCCTATGAGAATCTAATGCTGCTACTTACCTGTCAGGGGCAGAGCTCGGGCAGTAATGTGAACCATGG